AGCCATTAGCACTGCATGTACAGAGAAAAGTAACATTGATTTGATAGTGTAGTAACATACCTCAGAGCACAGGTCAGGTAAGTAACCAGACAGAAGAGTGAGGGTAGAGTCTTCATGATTCCTTTCCTTGATAGACAGTATTCCTTGTTCTTGTGAGATGATTATTTGTTTTAGTGAGAAGTGATTGACTGCTGCTGGTCACCTCCTTATATACTATTAGGTACCTCATCAATATTCATTAGCAATTAAGCAAAAACTGACCAATCAGAGGCTAGCTGCATGACATTAATTATTTTAAACAAAAGGCCTTTGTATAGACCTATGACTGTATACTTAGAATTTCAACAGTTGAAGTATCTACCAAGTTACTACGCTAACTTTCCAGTGAAATTACTATAACTCAGCATAGAGTAATTCACTTCCTTTCATGATGAGCAACAACTGGTATATTCAATTACCTGAGCCATGTATACATATATAGTACAAACAATATATATAAAGTAGATGAAAATCTGAATGTATTATATATAACTGATGTTTTAATATTAATGCATGTTTCATAAATTGCACACACATTTGATAGACGTACTTCATAATACCACAGTAATGGCCAACCAGTTCCTATGTACTTCAAAATCAATTGATTTACTAAAAAAATTATACAAAATAATAATAATTGTATTTTTACTATAATAATACAATACATGCTTAATTTACTGCAAAGTCATAATAACAATTTTTATTATGTTTAGGAATCTCTTACTATGTAGGAAATAATAATATTTTAAAAGTGGTAGCAAGAATGAAGACGATAAGAGCCACATCCATTTTCAATTAAAAATCATTAACCACGCCTTCTGATTGTACAGCATATACATCTAGATCTATTTTAATGAACATTTAATCTTACCTCGGGTCCACCTGCCCGACATGGTCCTCTGTCCTCCTTGCTGATTACCTAGACAATGGGACAGTGGCCATACTGCCCGGGAAAGTGTGGCCAATGTACGGGCCCCACTTCAGCCCTGCCCCCTGGATTAACTGGGCCTCCAATGCATTCCGGTCCACCAGGCAGGGGGGGAGCTCCACCCACACAAGGTCGCTTGGTGGGCGGACAAATTCCCCCTGACCTCCCGCCCCCTCATCACAGTTGCTTGAGTTGTATCCCAAGGGTGGGTTCCCAAATCCTTCAAGGTGGTTCCACCCACGCTTTTGGGTGGGGCCGACCATCGGAGGGGATGACCCACAGATTATCATCTTGGAGGCAGAATTTCCGTGGTGCCCATACTATCACACTGGGAAGGGACCCAGTGGAAAACCTAAACCTACTAGATGTTGGGTGGGTGGTGGATGAGCAAATGGAGTCTCTTCTTCCATGTGTGTAGTCCTGAGAGAATGCTGGATGATGCTGATCTCCCACGCATGTGCACAACTGTGTTGGTGCACAATGTGGGTGGCTATTGCATTCCGCCCC